ATTCTTAAATCACAATTCTCACAAAAGTCGGACTTTATGAGATTGAATGCCCGCTTTTGCCGGAGCATTACGTGTTTTTGTAGTCGCCCGTAATAGCGATACTGTGTTTATTTTGTATTTTTTTACATTCTCCTTTGACAAAATTTACCTTTTGTAAATGTTTAATCCAATTTATGTATTTTTTGTCAGTGCTGTGTGGCTCACGTGTCATCAGGGAATCAGAATGTCGAATCATGTATCAGCTTTCTTGCCATGTAGCTTTATATTTATGAATATATTCCACTGATAGAATGTTGAATCATGTATCAGCTTTCTTGCCATGTAGCTTTATATTTATGAATATATTCCACTGATCAGAATGTTGAATTATGTATCAGCTTTCTTGCCATGTAGCTTTATATTTGTGAATATATATTCCACTGATCAGAATGTCGTCGAATCATGTATCAGATTTCTTGCCATGTAGCTTTATATTTATGAATATATTCCACGTGATCAGTGCATGTATAACGGTAATACAGGCTTCTCTAACTTTGTGCACAATAAATTATATCTGTCATCTAATCATATTAATAATTTATTGCTGGTTTAAAACCTTTGAACCCTATTTCAATACAAGGTTTATAGGAGAAGGAAAGAGAGAGAGAGAGATGGGAGGGAGCGAGAGAGAGAGAAGATGGCGAGGGGAGAGAAAGAGAGCGGGGAGAGAGAGGGCAGGTGAGAGAGAGAGAAGAGAGAGAATAGATAAGGGCAAGAGCCCCCCCCCGACAAATTTTCGTGTGCCCCCAGTGCCCCCCAACTGAAAGTTCATGCTTGAAAAAAACAAATTTGATATTTAAAAACAATGCCATGAGAAACAGTATAATACAAAGAAAAGTTATATATTGTGCCCTGCACACAAAAATGTAAGGCCCCCAGTCCCCCCCCGCTTGAAAAAATCCTAGTAGCGCCACTGTGGCGGATAATGATAATTGGATCATTACATAGCACGTGTTGGATTAGCACATGTACCGATCATATGGCACCTACTAAGGCTAATGACGTGCGTAGAGTGCGAGTAGCCCCGGTGTGTGTGCGTTGCTGTCTGCCACAGCGTGTACGTAGTAATAAACATATTAACATTAGGAATAATATAACTGCATGTAATCCTAAACAATCTATAAAAAACCTCTTGTTAATTGCTAATGATTCACCAGACATTTACCAATGTAACGGTTGACAAATGCGCAATCACATGCTGGATCACTATTTGATGAAATGTCGAGTGTGTTTGTTCGACAAGCATTAGTCCTCGGTGCTGCGCTGCTGCATGCGACTGCTGTTTTCCTCCTGCTACTGCTGTTTTTCCTTTGCTGCTGCTGTGTTGCTGCTTTTGTTGTGTCCTGCTTGCTGCTGGCTGTTGCTGCTGTTGTCTTTCCGCTGCTGCTTGCTGTTGTTGCCGTGTTTGTTCTCTGCTGTGCGAGGGTAACTCATCAACGGAAATGTCCTCTGTAACCATTTCTCCGTGGCAGATCGTTCTGCTTCATTTTTCTGCCTGCTTCAATTCCGTACTAAGTCTCTGGAAGATGCTAGCGAATACGTGTTGACTTTTCAGCATAAGAAGCTTAGAATGATAAGAGGTTCACTCGCCAGAATAGCTTGTAATTTGGCCTCATACAGTCGCTGCCGGCCAAACCTGCGCCGCGTGATAGCGCGTATTTGCAGCGCATCATGGCTGCTGCTAAGAAGACAAAGCCAAGGCGTGCTGCTTGCTTCAGCGTACTTGTGTTATAGATCCGCTCTACACCTCACGGATTATCCGTTTTTAACTTTCCCAAGGATCTTGAAGGTTGTATTTATATTTATAATGATATATTGGTATTAGCAGTGCTGGAGTTTTAACTACTTATGTGACTGTGAGCCTGCAGATGTATACTGCATGTGACATCACTGTACCGTTTGACTGTTACTATACTCTATAGTATTGACATGTATTTAGAGTTACTGTCTGCGATGTAGCATGTAGACTGTGTTGAATGTGACTGATTGATCATGTATTAGGAGTAGACTGAAATGCACGTATGTGACTAAGATATGTAGAGATGTACGCTATGGTGAATTGGGCGTAGGTGGTGTAGATTGAGAGTATAGTTACGTATGTGACTGTAGAATTCGATTGTACGTTAATGTTGCTGTACGAAACGAGATGTTACTTATAGTGACAGAGTACGATTAGATTAAGATGCTGTGACGTTAAACTGATGATGTACGCGGTAGCTATGGCTTTACCCTTAGAAGCTCAATATTTTACCAACACATTGTGTAGTACTATGTTATGCTTATCTGTGGCTATAGCACATTTTAACATTACTTTACTTCGCTCATAATTAATTAACACATTTAAACAAGGCACAATATTTGTTTGTAAACTAATGAAATGCATTGTTATACTTATTTACAGGTGTAAAAAGACTGGGTAGTG